GTCCACAGTTCACCACTTGTTTGACATCTTTATGAGTTCTTCTCACTGCAGGCTCTACTACACCAACACTGCCAGCCCTGTCGGTCCGCATAATTATCGTATATATTTGTTTCGTATAAATATTTATACATTCATTATCAGTTTTGTGACATTTATTTCCCTATTATAAAGTGCATTATATTTTTATATAGAAATTAATTGAAAACTTTTTTTAAATATACAGTATAATAGTCAAACATCATTCAGATTACAAAAATAATAATTTATGGTTTAAAATGTAATTTGTTATTAAATATGCGTTTATCTAATTTTATAGTTTAAATAAATTTTAAGTTACAATTAGTTTTTAATGTCAGACCTTATTTTTATTAGACTTTCACAGTGTGTTTGTTTAGACTTTTATTAAATGGGTTTAAAAAGTCAATAATTACAGTATGAATAACAGTAGTCATTCAATTTTTACATAATTGAACACTAAATCATAATTTAGTAGAATTATTAATATCATTATTATTTGTATTATTTGATCTGGTTGAATTACTGTTTTGCAATACTTTTAAAATATTAACAATCGGACTCTCAAATAAAATGTACAAAATATATGCCAATATAATCGTAACCATCGTATTAAAGACAAAGTTGGACAACTAATTTATAAGTAAAAGTCAATTAATATTTTAGTTGAAAAATGTTAACAAATAACAAATACCATTAAAGTGTCCGTTAATTCAATGGTCTGTTTAGACGAAAATAATGTATAAATCGGTGGCAAAAAGTTTGTTAAATATATTCCTAGCGATAGCTTATATATCGGAGTCAATGAGTCCCACGAAAGCATACGATTTAATCGCACTATTTATTTGTGATAAATATTAATTCAACATAAATATAAATATAAATAAATAATTTTTAATCACTTACCTGCCCTACCGGTGCTGCACATATAAAATACCCACAGAAATCCTAGACAATAAAATAACTTTCCAAATGTTAAGTTGAGATATACTTCCCATTCAGTGGACACTTCATTGATCTGAAAGTTTTCGACATTAATATCGCTTTTCATGAGTCGTTGCGTCCAATGAAAGGCCCAAACAGTGAGTCCTGGAAACACAAACCATAGCACAGTCTCCACATGTTTACCGCCTAATGATAGGTTCGTTGGCATCGTTGGCCACAATCGCCGACGCCGTCTCCAAACGACAGCTTTGGGCCATGAAATGTATGACTCTATGAAAACTCATTTATTAGTAATTGTTACCATGTTTTATATACAGATTTCTGAATTACTACTTAATTATTGGTTAATCAATGATTAAAATATAATACATATATGATTTAAATTACAAACTGTAACAAAGTATTACTAACATAATTGTGCAGTTTATATAAAATCCAAAAAAATTTAACTTTGCACATGAATTCAGTATTTGAAATTCTTTTTTGTTAACTGGGTGAAAATAATTACAACTAATTATTCAAACACACAGTTATTGACTCCATGGGAGGCCTACCATCAGGGCTTATGGAGGGCGTGCTGTCCAGTGTCGGCGAGTACTCCGAGTGCTTAGACATCAAGAGCCCGGCCGACAGTCAAATAGCGATCACCGGTCAGTACTGTTTGGCCAAACCTATAATACCGCATCCGGAAAGGCATACCCATCGCAGTGGTCAACCATTGAACAACATATTCTCAATACCCAACCATTTGATCGACGAGACCATCGATGTCTTGTATCTATTCAATGGATCTCTGGTTAATATAGGAATCTGTATTCCGTCCGCTTGTGACCCATTAGATGTGGAAAAGGCTATCAATCAAAGTAATGAAAAATATATTCATATTAGGGGTCATTCAATAAGTAGATAGCACTTTAGATTTAAGCGTGTGCACCTATTAAGTGAATTTCCCACTAGGATTTATGCTTGTTTATTATTTATAGCTGATTTAATAGCGTTGCGTGTGTGTAACCAATCTCTGTATGTGTTTATGTAGTTTTATACCCGTTAATCCAAATACCGGTGCAAATTGGCCCGGTGTGCGATCGTAAAGATAAGCCCATAACACTGGACAAATACCAAATGGTTGCCGTGTAAGTGCTCATCTCCCTGTCCCCCAAACGCAAACACTATTAAAATAACTTTTAAACAATTAATTTGTTTTCTTTTGCTAAACACCAAAAGCCTAATAATGTCGACACTATTGGCGTTAACCCTATTGGCGGCGATTTACGAGTATTACGCCAATAGAGGTCCGGAACTGCCGGTCGATGTTCGCCGCAAAACAAACTCAAACACCGAAAGCCCTAAACAAACGCTTTTATCGCAAATCGTAATCTCCTTCTCGATCGTCGCCAACACTAAAGCCTTGTTTCAAAAGTCTGCCAAAAAGTTTGTGAACATTGATTTCGTGCGACTATTGATGCTGTTGCAAACGATCCTGATGCATCAGTACTACGTGTATCTATTCTGGAGTGCTCTACCCCTTACCAAACGGATATTCACGGGGTTGGGTAGTCGTGTGGGCACCGACTATAAGTATGCATTTTTGCGTAACGTTCACAACACAGACTTTTTCTTTGCCCTGTCGTAAGTGAATAATATCGGGAAAAATATGATAATTTTAATGACCATGGTCACCTTAATTTAGTGGTCTGTTAGCGTCGTATAGTATGATCGGGACATTGGAGAGGTCGGGCGGAAAGTTTAGTTATATTAAATACGTGGTTAATATGTACCTACGATTTTATCCGTCCATTTTGGGGGTAATACTGATGTACTATTTGCTGCCACTGGTGGGCACCGGACCCTTTTGGCACAGGGCTGACCCCCAGTATGTCGAGTCGTGTCGCAAGTATTTGTGGTCCAATCTATTGTCGTTTAATTATTATGTCTTAGACTTAGAGGAGTTCTTCCGCTCACATATGGTTAGTATTAATGGCATTATATTCTCAATCATTATAACAATTATTGAATTTATATTACTATTTGGCTACCAGTGCAATCTGGCCAGTTGGTGGGCCACCACGGTATTTCACTTGTTACTATTGGCACCATTATTCATAATACCATTTTACAAGTCAAATAAAATTATATACGTCAACATAATGTTAACTGTGCTGGGTGGTTGTCTCAGCATTGGTCACATATTGATAAAAGGCATTCCTGTAATGAATCAGTTGTCGAAAATGCAGTCAATTGTTGAGGAATCGTTTTACTCGATATTCTACACCTGGCCATTCATACACCACTTGTCCCCCTTCGCGGTCGGCATTATCACCGGTTATCTGATCCGAAAGCACCCGAACCTATCATTAGGCGGTAAACATGTGGAGACTGTGCTATGGTTTGTGTTTCCAGGACTCACTGTTTGGGCCTTTCATTGGACGCAACGACTCATGAAAAGCGATATTAATGTCGAAAACTTTCAAATCAATGAAGTGTCCACTGAATGGGAAGTATATCTCAACTTAACATTTGGAAAGTTATTTTATTGTCTAGGATTTCTGTGGGTATTTTATATGTGCAGCACCGGTAGGGCAGGTAAGTCATAAGAAATTATTTATTTATATTTTTATTTATGTTGAATTAATTAATATTTATTGCAAATAAATAGTGCTATTAAATCGTATGCTTTCGTGGGACTCATTGACTCCGATATATAAGCTATCGCTAGGAATATATTTAACAAACTTTTTACCACCGATTTATACATTATTCTCGTCTAAACAGACCATTGAATTAACGGACACTTTAATGGTATTTGTTATTTCTTAACATTTTTAAACCAAAATAATTAACTGACTTTTACTTATAAAATTAGTTGTCCAACTTTGTCTTTAATACGATGGTTACGATTATATTGGCATATATTTTGTACATTTTATTTGAGAGTCCGATTGTTAATATCTTAAAAGTATTGCAAAACAGTAATTCAACCAGAGCAAATAATACAAATAATAATAATGATATTAATAATTCTACTAAATTATGATTAAGTGTTCAATTATGTAAAAATTGAATGACTACTGTTATTCATACTGTAATTATTGACTTTTTAATCCCATTTAATAAAAGTCTAAACAAACACACTGTGAAAGTCTAATAAAAATTAGGTCTGACATTAAAAACTAATTGTAAATTAACTTAAAATTTATTTAAACTATAAAATTAGATAAACGCATATTTAATAACAAATTGTATTTTTAACCATAAATTATTATTTTTGTAATCTGAATGATGTTTAACTATATACTGTATATTTTTAAAAAGTTTTCAATTAATTTCTATATAAAAATATAATGCACTTTATAATAGGGAAATAAATGTCACAAAACTGATAATGAATGCATAAATATTTATACGAAACAAATATATACGATAATTATGCGGACCGACAGGGCTGGCAGTGTTGGTGTAGTAGAGCCTGCAGTGAGAAGAACTCATAAAGATGTCAAACAAGTGGTGAACTGTGGACACGGCTTCCAGTGTCTGGTTATGAGTGCACCGGTATTTCGTGGTTTGCATCTGATTTAGTCGACACCACTCGAAGGACTGATATAAAAGACTGCGAAATCATTCACAAATAGTATAATAAACACATTAATTGAATTTCAAACACAGCAATCATTTGCATTACCGGTAATAACACATAGATATAGAGAATAGTATACAATAGGTATGAATATAAATGAGTAATATAAGCTAGCTAATAAGTGATGTATTAATGCATTAGTAGCTAGCTAGTAATGAGTGATACATACTCGCACTCATGTTTGTTGATATCAGTGGACATTAACTGGTGAATGGATGTGAGGTCGGCCCTCAATTGCATACAATCCATGAATTGGGTGGCATTCCAGCACTGGAGCTGATAGAGAATGGCTGTCCGGATAGGGAGGATAAAGAGATTTTTAAAAATTATTATAAAATTATATTAATTCATAAAAAGCCTAATATTCATATAAACTTCGTAAACCTCGTAAAATGAGTTTATCATCGCGAGCTCCCTGTCCAGGGCCGACATAATCGCACAGTTCATACATCCACACCTCCTTTCGGCAGGTGGTGAATAGCTTGGCTGAGAATGGCAGGCGAAGTGATGTCAGGTGTAGTTAGTGTAGTGAGCATGTCAAGTTCCGCAGCAGATAGCGTGACCATCAGTCATAAGAAATAAAAAGTTTTCAACCTTTTTAAGCAAAATCTAATGGACTATAAGTTAAAACATATAATTTGATGCAATACTTGCAGAGATTTTCCAGATAGCCGTCGGAAAAGTGAGTGAATTGAGTGCTATTCTTGTGAATGATTTGTTGCAACTGTTTGTGAACAGCACTGAAGCAGTCGTTTGCAAACCCAGGTTCGCATCGATCCTCACCCGACGCTTACAAATAACACTCAATTAGTTTTGTATTACAATTAATTTTCTTAATTATAAATCTCATACCAAAACACATTAATAATATAAACGTTAAAATTCCTAAATATTTTAAATTCATACTAATTGATATTTCGACACCAAATTGTATGTTAAGTATTGAATATTGAATTGTGCAGGATATTCACTTAATAATAAATGATTTTCACTTCACTTATTCGCACCACTATTAATTTATATAATATTATAATAATTTTAAAAATATCTTCAATAGGTAAACAATTAAAATGTTAAAAATGTAAATAGCTTGGTCACTAACTTTATAATTAAAAGTTATGAATAAAATGCTGAATAATGAATTGATTGGTGAGTGTATTGTGCACTCAATCAATGAGAGGATATGACTCCAAAGGAAACGGAATTTGATTTAATGATTAGATTTAATTGTAAGCCTTTGTATTATAATGGTTTTGAGCTAATCATAGTCCCAACAACTGTTTTGGTGTTAAATGACCGTGGTTATTAATATTTGTAATACGATGAATATAGATTTTATTTAAAATATTATATTATTTAACTTACAATAAGTGAAGAATGTTTAAATTGAATCTTTTAATTAACTTAGTTTAATATTTATTCATTAAAATGTTTATTAAATTTTTCTAATTAATTAAAATATGTGGTTATTTTAAATTTTTGGATTAGTTTTACTAAATTATTTGGATTTGAACATAAAAATTATTCACAATTCATAAATATAAATATATTGGAAATATTTTAATGTAAACAACAATTAATTGAGAAAATAGTCTAAAATATAATTTAGTTTTCAATTCATGACTAAACGGTGGGATTGATTGGTCTTCTGAGCGAACATTGAGATCGAGTGGACTCGGGTTGAGTGGANATAATTTAGTTTTCAATTCATGACTAAACGGTGGGAATGATTGGTCTTCTGAGCGAACATTGAGATCGAGTGGACTCGGGTTGAGTGGAGTTGTCGATGAGCTCCCGTCTCAGCCAAGTATAGGCCCGACTGTTGGACAGTTGGCTCACAACACACGCACTCAACGCGCTCTTGTGTTGAGCCATTCGCCACATTTCCTGCCAACTGTTGGTCACCGGGTTATAGGCCTCCACTTCGGCTATAGTTGTTGTTCCCTATAATATGAGACATTCAAGTATTGGTCATCGAAAGCAACTAATTGGACACCACTTCGGGGTCTATTCATTTGAGTGATAAGAGTCCACTCGTTGACTGATGGGTCATACACTTCGGCATTACTTAACACTTCACTGCCTATGAGTCCATACATTAGAGACAATGAGAACAAGTGAGAGCAGACTGACAGCAAACAAACCGTTAAAACCGCCGACGATATACACCTTTCCCGCCATTTCAACACAATTTAGTGTTTATTTTAAACATAAGTTCAAAGAATTGAGTTATAATACCATCGCATATATGAATCCATTACAATGCGCTACACTTACGTAACACCTAAAGGAAAGTTATTAGGAAATCAAATGCAAATTTCAATGGACTGGAATGGTATCAAAAAAGCTAACGTTGATGTCAAACCTGGGGGAATGCATACAAGACTTCTCACTCCATGTTTTAGTGATCGGATTGAAAGCGAATACAGTATTGAAATGTTGTCGTCCCTGAAGGCAATCAAATGAATAATATTTAAGTGAATTAGACTTTTAAAGAATTTCAATGAAAATATATACAGAATATCAAGAATTGGTGTATAATTTGTCTTATCCTACACTAGACTCTGGCTATCAGTTGTGTACCACTTGTTGACCCGACAGTCGTACGACTCGATAGT